AGTTTTGTTTTGTTATCTGTTCCAAGATTAATTGTATGTTTTTGATGTCATGTTCTGTAAGAAATTCTAGCTCTGAATATTTATTTAGGAGGAGATGCTTAGTTATACTGAGTGTTACTGTAATTGGTACATTCGAGTACAGATTTTTGATGTCAAACGATATTAATTGGGTTTTATTATTAATTTCGATATCTTTAATGTCATTTATTAATTGTTGGGAGTTTTTTATTGAATATTTTGATTCGAATCTAAAACTATTTTGAATTATGTTGTGAATAGCTTTTTCGATGTTTTGTGTTGGTGTGTTAATATTACTAATTATGGGTCTAATAATAATAATAATATAATGTTTATTAACCCTATGTAATACATTGAAAAAAGAAGAGTAATACAAAAAAAATCAAATGAACAAAGGAAAGTATATAAACTAACAATAATACTAATAAACAATCAGTGGAGTTAAAGAGGGCCAAGTCAATTAGCGAAAGCGCAAACTGTTTTTCATTGACCCTCGGAAGTATTAAATGAAATTATATCTAAAACCCATCCCACCACCCACCCCAAGTGCAACGCCAATTCAAAGGTTTCAAGGTGTCATAAAATGCTTGATATGCCTAATGATTGCCCGCTTCCTCCTGCTGTCTCCGCAGTTCAATTTTTCATTTGTTTCTGAAACCATGCACATTCCCCAGCTTTATAGTAAGTGGGATGTTGTTATAAATGCTAGGCACACAGTAGGAAAAGGCTCTCTTGAACAGTTCGAGCCTATGCTTCGGTATTGTTAACGTGTAACGGTGCCTAACATTTATATTATGAATATCTGTCCGATAGCAAATTTTGTTGTGTAAATAAGGAGGGGTTTTATAAGTAAGAATTTTATGATACTTTTAATTGATCTGTCCGGTTTATGTAGTTTGATTAGACTGTACATTAGTGGCGATTGCGGATTCATATTATTTATTTTGTTTACATTTTATAGTTTTATAGTTTATACATAGTAAATTGTAGCGGTCGTGAAAAAGTTTACATAGTCTAGACGGGACGTAAGCTCAACATTAGAATCAAAGAACACATATCATATCACATATCAAAAGAAACTCTTTTGTATTTAAACACACGTCTGAGACAGGTCATAGGTTCAACACAGATTCAATAAGACTTATTAAACAGCTTCCAAAATCTAAAAAATTAGATCTTATGAAGAAATGGAAATATCTAAATATAATAATAATAACAAAGAATTATTAATGAACGAAGCTACGGATATAAATCCTTACCGTTTGTTTATTCCTTTTATAAGTGTAAATTCACCACATAAACCTGTTTCCGAAAATCTTCCATCTTAGAATAATCCAAAAGTTGCACATACCAGTTCCTTTTCGACAGTTGTAGATATAAGATATTTTTGTGATCTTGTTCGAGTTTCAATTTTTAACATAAATTTAACGTGTAAGTTTATCGTATCATTTTCTTGTAAATTTAACAATGCTGAGAGAAATTCAAAAGTGGGAAATCTTAACATCCGAAATTATTATACCACGCAGCCGCTATTAATTGACGGTAAACAATTATCACATGTTTATGTTTTTGTAAATTAAAAAAATTTTTACTCATGTTTTGTAGCAACAACCTGATGACGGAAACTTTTTCCGAAACCGGTAGTTGAGAAGAAATAAATTTCTTTCATCGGAATTTTAATTTTTTTTTATATTTAACATTACTGACCGAAGTCAACAATGGAGTCCTTTATCAAACAAGAATCATCATATTTTCGAGAACCTACTTTTCGTTTTTAGATAACCTTGGGATCCACTTTTGCTGCGAACTGCGAATATACCACTACGACAGCAACCACTGGTGGTACTTGGACTAGTGGTACGCGTATCACCGGTAAAGAATCGTTGGTCTGGAGTAACAAGTCAGATTTTCCTCTTGAACAGTAAAGATGTCATCTTTTTGTTATAATTAAGTGGCAGATTAAATATTAAAACAGATTTTTAAAACCATCATTTTGTAGAATATTTATTGATGCTTGGTTTATCAGTGCTAATAAAACGTGATAAAGTTTATTAAAAAAAAGGAACAAAACTTTCCACAATCCACCGATAAATTGTTTCCGGGGCCCGACACAAACGACATTTTTACATGCACGTTTATCTGTTGCCGTCCAGTTGTATACGAGTATAATGTTGCCGCATTATGAACCCGGCCACTATCTTTTTGCCGAGCTTAAAATATCGGCGCGATACGGTTCTGGATTTACACCATGGCGGGTCCTTGCCGGCAGATAACGCCCCAGGATAATGCCCTTCTTACGTCGGTACGTTTCGGAGATAGTGCCTCCGTACGTGTGGGCAAAGATCCAGATAAGAAAGGCCCACTTATTATTGTGCCTTTATTTTCTTTATTTTTTTGTTACTTTTTCTTTTCCGCCTTGTTTCGTCGAAGGTTTGGTGCGATTTAACGTGAGTATCATATTTCTCCTGTCTCTTTACAAGTTGGGCGGAGGTGCAACCGGCTAATCGCCGTGGGACGTTGAACTTCGAACGGAACTTCCTGTCAGACGCGAGATATGCTAATTGTGACGAGAAGATAGGGAAATGATAGTGTGTAACATTGGCATATCTCAAAGTGAATCAGTACTGGCGTATATCGCAATAAAACGGTGTTCGTGGGTTTGTAAAAGGTGTTCAAGGTGATAAAATATAGAATTGAATAAAATATCGCTTTAAAGCGAGGCTTGAAAGTTAAAAGAGAAGAGAAATTAACCTTAATAAATATGGGTTTCGTGAAAATAACTTATGAATCATAGAAAAGGATCATAAAAGAATTGATTACTTTTCGCACGACATAAATAAAGAAAAAGGCTCAGATTTGTCATCGCTGTTGGATATTTTTAGATCAAAACCACACGAACTCGAACGCGACGAAACAATAATCTGAGCCACCCCTTTCCCCAAAAGAAGAAAGAAAGGTCGGCGTTGTTTCATTTGCCTAACAAACGTAAATCTGTGCTGGGGTCTTTTTATTTGCACTACACGTCTGAAGTCTAGACAGAAGTCAATGTTATGGTCGGCCAGAGTTCGGAATATTTATCCACCCACATCCCCGAGAGGCCGCTTTTTGTAAAGCGGGGTCCTTTTCTGTGCTTTCGTCCTTCGCAGTTGAGCTCGGTTTAATGACGCATGGTATTTCGTTGCGCCCTAATAGAATCCGACCGAGACAAAGAGGCCCGATTTTTCGCTTCGAGTTTCGAAGTAATTACCGGGTCCGCGAATCGAGACAAATAATTTACATCGCCACAGGCTTAATCACGGTCAATTTGCCGTCTCCGTCGAAAAATAGTAGTAGAAGCCGATGCGAATGCCGTCGCTGGTTACGGTCCTGTAATTAAGTTAATTAACGCAGATTTCCTTTAAATCTCTAATTATCCCCACTTTCGCCAGATTTTTCTAGTTCTAGCGGAAGTTTTTCTTTTACACTCGCAGTCCCGGATTAATTTTTCTCGGGGACTTTTGCCTCGATCCAAACTAGAATTTGCAGCAATCAACGAAATGCAATTAGGAAAGATAAATTTGATGTTGGATTTCATTAAAATAAGAATAAGTTTTTCCCTATAATTAGGAAATTTTAAATGACTTTAACGCTTTCGTATAGAAAAAGAAAATACTTTTATGATTTTATGCAAATCGTATTAAATTATCGTTTTGTATTAACAAAAAGAATCTCATAAGCACAATTTCTCGTTTAATTCCTTTGAATTTTCCATTTTAGCAACTTTTTAATCTTATATTCTATTTAATGCATACAAAATAGGATTTTTTTCTTTTCCTTTTCAACCGCAAGAATTTTCAAACACAATAGGGAGCAGTCTTTCAATCCGCCGGTACCAAAAAGGCTTTTAGTTGACCCCTCGCTTCGACTCAACTCCACCCGCGACAGTATTGACTTCGCGCGGAGAGAAAAGTTTCCTCCGCAATTCCTGGCGAAATCATATTTGCATTAAAATTGCATCGTCGTCTGCGAGAACTTTTTAATATTTCCATTTTGGCGTCGGCTCTCGGAAAAGATCCACTGTTTTCCCGAACGCGCGCAACTTTGTTTGTATTGCATTTGCTCGGTAATTGTGTTTCGCACTTTCCACTAATTTTTCACTAAGTGACTTTGGAACGAGACATTTGCATTTCCATTATAGTTATCCGGAAAAAGTTGAACCACACAGCTCAGACGATGACAGAAACAATTTTCTGTTAATTCCCAGTTCTATATTAGAAAACGCTAATATATTTAGAGAGAAGCTTGGTGAAATATCGTGAAAATATAGTTCTTGAAATAAATATCGACCCTCAATAATGCCATTAGTCTAATTCTAAATCGACCTTGCCCCTTGATTATACTTATATAGATAGAATTTGCTGGTAATGTCTTTATTGATTCTTCAAATTCTATAAACTATTTCATTTTTCACTTATTTATCAGCGGATTATTACATACATATATCTAATTTGTTGTATGGTTCTGAGTCGATAAATGTAATGTTAAAATATTGTATCGTGGTTCTAACTTCTTCAGAAATGCGATTAGTGAAAGAGGCAGCCATTGGATAAAAAAACACTTGTGAAATTAAATCTGTCCGTTTACGCTTTTTGAACGAAATAAAATAACGTGATTTTTAATGTAGTGTTACCTGTCCAACATTGAAACAATCATATACAATGAAACACAGTTATATTTCTACAACACGACGTGCCTAGAACGCTTGCCCACGCTTGCCCAGTTTGCGAGCACACTGCGTGTAAGAAGACGTGTTTGTGGGCACTTTTTGGATTTTCATACAAAAAAGTAAGAATTTTTAATCATCTTTGGCGATTTTTTAGCAATTTATAGAAAATAATTTCGCATTGTTTAATATTACGTTGTATTCTGTATATTTCAAAGTATCTTTCATTTTTTGTTGAAATTTCTTTGAAGGTTATAAACAGGACCCTTGTTGGTTCACAATGAAACAAGCTGTAGTGTATATGTCGCAGGCAAATGGTTGTTTCAGGTAAATAGCTTTTTCCTAGTCAGATACTATCTGCTTAGGCAAATAGTTTTATTCCATTTATTTCAGTCTAAATTCTACTTTCCAAGGAAAATAGCATATGCCTAAAATATTTTCAGGCACATAGCTCTTTAAACCAACCCAACCCAACCCCAGGAATGCTTTATTTCTTTAAGAGAGGACTGCACTTCACAGTCACTGTTTTCTGGACAAGGGATGTCAAAATGCCAGTGCCAGCCTTCAAAATTTCATTGCAGTACAAAAAGGTGTACTTGTATCAAAAATAAGATGATGTGCAATAGTAAATGCCATTCCGTCAACAATTGTCAAAACAAGTAAATTTTTGTATTTAGTATTTAACTCTTCAAGAAATAAATCGTTTATTTGTATTTTTATTAAGCTTAATAAAAGTATATGAAACTGTTATGCATTTTTTTAAAATGATACGCAAATAATTTGACTCGTTTGACACTCATTACTCATTAGTGACTTTAATTTAAAAAAAGTAAATTGGGTAATTGGAAAAGGTTGATAACGATAGGAACTACTTTAGTTTATTGTGAACAGGTACTTACTCTATATTGCATTGTTGTATCGAAAAAATGGTATTTGCCTAAAACAAGCTTAGACAGATACTATTTGTCTTGTCCAATAGTATTTGCCTAGACATTTAATGATAAAACTGTAACAACTACTGTTTACCTAGGCAGACAGTATCTGACTAGGAGAACGCTATATACCTGAAATAGCCATTTGCCTGTGACATATACAATGAAACAGTGTGTCATTGTATACTGTCTCGTTTAATTGTAGGCAATGTTTAAAATAACGATAATTCTTCTAAACACAAGTAACTTTCCTAAATGTTATACGTTTTGGTTAGTAATTACTTATATAAAAATTGCACGCTTAATGTGTTCTTGATTTAGATGGCACGTACTAAAGCTGTAAAAAGAAAGAAGGGAGATCAGTCACCGTCAAATATGCTACGAGTTAACCAAGGTTAACCCCAAACTATGATGTTAACTGAGTATTTACTGAAGAACAAGAAGCTCAACTTGAAGAATATATTAAAGATTGTGCGTCTAAATTTTATGGTCTTTCTACTAAGGATATTCGATCTTTTAGGTCCAGACATCCAACCAGATTACTAGTGGAAAAGAGGACTTTTATGACTACTTGTGCGATTGTGTGCGCTTCAGGGCAAGCTTTACCTCCAATTCTTGTTTCCCCGAGGAAATATTACAAGGATTTTTTGTTCACTACTGCACCTCCTGGGTCCCTTGGACTTGCTAACCCGAGTGGATGTATGAATACGGAGCTGTTTGTCCAAGTCATGCAGCACTTTATAAAACATACTTATGTATCCCTAGAAAACCCCACATTGTTAATAATGGATAATCACGAATCCCATCTGAGTATTGACGCTTTGGATCTAATCAAAAAATCTGGGGTTTCTGTTCTTACTCTGCATCCACACATAACAGTTGAAATGCAACCAGTTAATGTGGGCTTAAACGGACCATTTAAAACCTATTATAATAGCGCTGTAGATTCCTGGTTACGAAGAAATCCAGGCAAACAGATGACAATCTACAATTTTGCCGAGTGTGTGGGTCAAGAATATCAAAAAGCAATGACCCCAATAAATATTGCAACAGCCTTCAAAAAATGTGGAATTTTTCCTTACAACGCAGACGTTTTCGAAGATATAGATTTGATGCCGTCAGCAGTCACCGACAGAGAACAACCAGGATCATCTTCAAAATTGCCCATTTCTGCTTCTTCAGACCACCTGTGATATGAGCCAAAAAATTATGGCAGTCTTTCATCAGAGGCAACATGCGCTGAAGGCCCTATTCCACGAGAAGCTGAAAGTCTATTCGTATTGGAAATGGGTGACCCTATATTTGAAGACATTTTTCTGAAATCAGCAATCACTACAACAGAAGTTTTGAAAAACCTTTGCAGGACGCAAGCTCTTCTTGTGATACTAAAAATAAATTGACGCCCACGAACTGATAAAAACTTCTGTGTGACAAAAAAGTAATATATAAACGAGAGAGGTCTAAAGTACATGTAGATCAATTGGGTGCAGAAACAAGCGAAGAAGAGGAAGATACGGTAGTTCGTCTAAGTGAAACTGATTTAACTTACCCTTGGTATCCGAAAGTTTCAAATGAATTGATCGAAAACCCTTAGAAGGCGACTACGTTTTAATTTGTTTTGAAATCGAAAAACTGAAAATATACTACATTGCATTGATCACTGAAGTAATAAATAATAATGCATATGGGGCTTCCTTCTTGATATTAAAAAACAAGATTGGGATGACATTTTATATGCCTCTAGAGCCAGATCTTTCAAAAATAATACTAACAGACATAAAAATGGTAACAAAAACAGACAGACTTTTTTATTCTTATCCATCAAATGGTGAAGGTTGGGTTGGGGCCAATTAAATTCCATTAATAATTATTCAAAAGTAATTAAATAACACTTTACTTTGCCAAATAATTAATTTCGTCTATCTCGCCATCGTCTTAACCACTTAAGGCATGACTTAACTTTCGATGTTGTGTATGTTTATTATTTTTAATTTATTACAAAGTGTAGAACATAAATAGTAAGGATAGTTATTTATTATTTATTAATAATTATAATTTTTGTTTTATGGATACATGAAGAAAACGAATTTATTAGTTAACCTTCATCACTTATCTTGTCGTTTTCTTCTTCAACTTCATTTTCTCCAGTAAATTTTTACTGTTCTAAGAGATTCTTCAGTATCCAATTCTTCAAATGATGCAAAACTTGAAATAACGTATTTGTCTTCTGTAACCTGCTCAAAAACACTCATCTGCATGTTTGATGTTAATCAAAGATTCTTCTTCGTCCCTTTTAGTATTTTCGTATGTTGTAAATGTAGCAGAAGAGTGTCTGCCTATTACATACCACCTCATCGTTCGATGTTCATTTGTTCCTCCAGTTACACGGATGTGTGAAAAGAAATTTTCAACTACATCTTCATTAAGCCGATATGTAAGTACGTATTGTATGTTATATTCTTGAGGTAATTGTACAAATTTATTAAAGTTTTATTATTCAGCAAAATCGCCCATTGAAATGGTAAAAGTGTTTCAATATCTTGATTTACTTTATTTAAAAGTATAATTTGTTGTTCTATGCTTTTACCAAAGGCATTACTTTGTTTAAATTTACTTCCAGTATTGAACACGTCAAATCAATCGTTTATAACTTTAATGAATTTTTTAGTATACTGTCAATCTACTTCACCCATAAGACGACATAAGATTTTTTATATAAAATAAAAGCATTCCAGACAGATATATCCATCAATGGAAAAATATATTTTATAGTATTTCTTACTCCTCTTTCTAGTTGTTGGATAGTCATGGAAGTATTAAGGATAGTCACAGGATAATTAAAATATTGGGCTGATTTTTATTCCAGGTGCAATACCTGATTTCCAGTTAAGTTTACAATTCGATATAGTTCATGTGGCCACCACAAGCACGTTTCCGCGCACGAATCTTTAAATTTAATTTTGCACCACCGTTTCACACATCCTCGTTTCGATTTCGCATTCTATATTGTCCCTGAACTTTTCTAACATTGTTTGCTTGTTGGCAAACAGTCCATCCAATTCTCTGAAAATGTAGTCTACAATATGGCACGATAGCGAATTCTATTGATCGTAACATGGCGATCATTTACATGGACGAAAAAATTTGATCGAATCATATACCTCTGGTGTAAAATCCACACGATATGAATACTTTTGTGGTTAAAACGGGTGTTTTTGAGTTAAAGACTGCACTCTTTAAGCACATGTTGGTCAAAGCCAAAAGTGAGCTTCATCGTTAATGTTGAATTTTCGATGAAATTGAGGATTTTCTTCAAACTTTAGCAGAGCTAAATCTGAAAAGTTTGATTCGGAAAAAGGCTTCAGTTCTTGAGATAATTTGATCTTGTAGGGATCGAAGTCAAGATCTTTACGCAAACTCGCACCAATGCGATTTGAAACTTTTTGGAACAAAGATATGTCACCATCCCTACGAGAAGAAGGAGAATTATCTGTTTTTGTAACAAAAACATTATATATCCTTGTTTGTATAAACCTTTTTACTTCCAATCTAGGTACTTACATGTTTTCTTCATTTCTAAATGTTTTCCAAACTTTTTCCAAATGAAAGGTCGGCCAAGTTTGTTTTCGAGTCTGTTGTTAAATCCTATTGATGTTCTCTACTGATTCTTTGTAAGTTTATACACGAAATAAATTTTATATGTTTGTTGAACAATGCTTTCGTCTACTACATTTTTTTTTATTTCGTTATATAGTAATCAAAATCAATTGCAAACAAAATGTTAAAAATGTTAGAGAACGAATAAACAAGATCACTTCTTTTAATAATTTGTTTACCGAAGATGACAATACCCGGCTTTAATGCATTGTTTGGTTGGGATAGAAGCGACAACAGCTATACTACAGGTTTGCAGCTTATTGATACTAGTCCAGTTATATTTCATCCAAGTCGTTTAATTTTAATGTACCACGAGACAACTAACTATGATTAGAATTGAATGATTTTGAGCGTAACTAACGTCCCATCTTGGCATTATCATGCCCTAAACAAAGCTCATGGTGAACCTAAAAATACATATACACATAATAACACACACATAAATGTGTCTGCTGTGAAATACAGCTGATAATGATTAACGCCTAAACCCAGTCTCCTGAAAAAGTAATGATAAAAACTAGAAAGAAATACGTTTTTTGTGTCTCTTTGTTCAATCTTTGACATGCTTTGTCAAAGTAGCGTTCTCGGTCGTTTAGTATTAAAGAGTTAAATTCCTTTCTTATGAGGTGCACAATGTGTTATTGCTATCAAGTAGTTTATACTTGTACGAATTTTAATACGAGAACCTCAATCAACAATTTCTTTAGCAAAGTCATTCAAATCATTTTAATTAAAACAATTCACACCAATAATTTGATTCGTATCACGAGGATCTTTGACTTTATCTTCAGAAAACTTTGGTAGTGTTGAAAATTTTACAATTAGTATTTTGTATAACTGGGGAATGACTCCAACAGTATACATACATTTTCAGAGAGTGAGTTCTTTGGAGGCTAGTAATATTCACAATAGAGAAACAGCAGTAGTTATGCACTCCAACGTTCAGACTTTAACACAAAACTTACACAATGGGGTATAAATAGTAGTGATTCACATCATAACATGATTCACCCATCACTAAGAAGCGCTGAATATACCAGTAGTGATCATCAATATATCTATTTCAGTGCAAGTGGCGACATTCGCTATGTCTCATGTGAAACAAATCTAATTATTCATTGCCAATTAAAAAGGATACCAGGATACCCGAAAACATCTACATGCTGCTGAACGAAGGAAACTGCTTTTTACAAAGCATGGCTAAAAAAGAAGAAGAAATTTTACAAAGATTAAAATTAGTGCTGCTCAAAATGTAATTCGGGACACCGAAGAACTCAAAAGCAAAAATTGCCACCTACAAAAGCCAAGAAGAGAGAAGCGATAAGAGATATATAGAGGTATAATAAAAATATGTACTAATTGTATTAAAAATATATATAAAAAATTGTCAATAAACATTTCAAAAATATCGTTTACATACTCCCAATCAGTGATGGGCGCTGGGTAAATACCCGGCGGGTAGGTATTTCTAAAATGGGTATTTATACGGGTATATACCCCGGCCCAGGGTAAATACCCAAACAGTGGGTATAAAAGTATACCCACTGTATACCAGTAAAAATATATCAGATTCCAAAAAAAAATGAAGAGGAAGATGATGAGGACGTTGAAGACGAGGAATTGCCAACAATCAAAGACGTATTATCATTAGACGAATCTGTCGTAATTTAGATTAGATCAAGTTATTATGATTATTGTCATCAAACACCCTCTGCGTCCAATGTTGGACATAGACCTCCCCTATTCTATTCTATTCGATTGTATTCTGTGCTGTCTGAATCCAATTGTTGGTCATTCTTTTGATGTCTACTTCGTCTGTTCGCTTGCGGTCTCCACTCAAGCAACCTTTTTGTCCACTGCTCATTCTTCATTCGCTCGACATGACCCGCCCAGTTCCACTTAAGCTTTGTCATAATGTTGACCACATCATTTACGCCACTTCTTCTTCATAGGTCTTCATTTCGTATGTAGTCCCTCAGAGTTAGACCCAGGATCGACCTCTCCATCTATCTTTGCGCTACCTTGGACCCTCCTGGCAGTGGCTACTGTTAATGTTAAAGTTTCGGAGCCTTATGTCATAACCGGAAACACGCATTGATTGAAAGCCTTTTCTCTTGAAGATGTCTCTAAGTTTCCTGTAGGCTGTCCATACGAGTGTGATCCTTCTGTTTAGTTCGCTTGTTTGATTATCTCTCGATAAACGAACCTCATAGCCAAGATATACATAACTGTCAACCCTCTCAATCTCATTATTTGTTGATGTTAGAGTTGGAAACAAGATTTATCATAAATTTTGATTTCTCCTCGTTGATATTTAACCCGACTCTTGCACACACCTCTTTCCACTTCCTCGT